TAGGTCAGTGTACAGACAGAACCAGATGTGGGGTGCAGCACATGAGCTCAGATGTGGGGTGCAGCACACGAGCACTGATGTGGGGATACAACACACGGGCCCATGGCCAGTGGGTGGGGATGACAGCTCCCTGGGGACTAGCTGGACCCTATTCCCCTGTCACTGCTTCTTTGACCTTCCTCCCCGTCCACTGACCACCTCTGGTCACTCATCTCTTGGGATAAAGGTGGGAGGTTACAGAAGCCCACAACTGCTCTCTCCTGCCTGCCTCTCCTCTCTTTCTGTTGACTGAGGTTTCTGTCCTACCTGGTTCCTGTCTCATTAAGTCCCAAACAAATCACACAGGGGTCTACATTAATTATAAACTGATTGGCCTAGTATCTCAGGCTTCTTATTAACTCTTATAACTTATATTAGCCCATAATTCTTGTCTGTGTTAGCCACGTGTCTTGGTACCTTTTTCAGCGAGACCGTCACATCTTGCTTGCTCTGTGTCTGCTTCCTCTCTCTGTCTGGGTGATGACTGCAAACTGAAACTTCTCTTTTCCCAGAATTCTCATTGCCCCACCTCTACTTCCTGCCTGGTCATCACCTCGCCTATACTTCCTGTCCGGCTACTGGCCAATCAGCGTTTATTTAAAATACAAGTGACAGGGTACAGACCATTGTCCCACAGCAGCTTTCCACCCGAAAACCAGGCCTGTCTTATTGCCTGCTATGCCGGGAACCAAACAGATAGGAGCAGGCTCTCTGCAGGGCGACAGTCCACTGAGGTGGAGACAACTGGGTCTGTTATTCAGCAGGCTTAGTTTCCTCACAATGTCTAATGCTCTCCATTTCTTCCTGTCACCATGAATTTCCCATCCTTCAAGACCCTAAGCTAGCTCCCCCATTGCAGACTCCCCATCAAACTCTGAAGCACTCAGCTAGTCCTCCATTGCAGACCCCACAGCGAACTCTGAAGCACTAAGCTAGTCCCCCATTGCAGACCCCACAGCGAACTCTGAAGCACTAAGCTAGTCCCCCATTGCAGACCCCACAGCGAACTCTGAAGCACATCTTAGCCGTCACGTGCCATGGGGCTGGAGCACCTGCTGGGCAGGCACTGAGTCTCTCAATGTTTCTGGTTCCTGTGCTTGCTCTGTGCCCAAGGCTCAGTGAGAGGGAGACAGGAGAGAAGAAGGAGGGAGGGGAGGGGAGAAAGGAAAGGGGGGAAGGTCGGAGAAAAGGATGAGAGAAGAACACAAAAGGAGGGGAGTTGTTGCCTCTGGGATTCTCTGAAACAAGAGCAGGGGACAAAGTTCTGTGTGGGTCCTGTCCTAGGCGGTGTGGGGTCACAGAAGTCAAGAAACTAGTCTCAACTAGGAGCAGAGTGTGGGGCTGGAGCACTGTGGGTGTCTTCAGGCTTCACCATCCCCTCCTCCCCCATTTTCCAGGACAACGTTTCCTGAAAGGGCTGGACTGGAGCCAGAGGGTGGGCCTTACCATGGGCCTTGGCCTTGTATAGAGCAGCTGTCAGCAGGAAGCTTGCAATGTCTCCTGGCGCCAGGTCCTCTGCCCTCACAAGGGCTATGTCACTGTCTACTGCCTTCGTGGCCACAAGAGTGCCGCCAGTCGCCACACTGGACAGCTGGTAGGGACCCTTTCCTAGCGCTGGAGAGAGGAGCCCCTGTCACAAGCCCCAGCAGCCAACCCACCTGTCCCACCCATTAGAAGTTCAGAAGAGGCAAGGGGTTAGAAAGGGACTCTTGGTGACCACAAGAACTTTTGTAGGTGTGATGGGTCAGGAACCCCAGGCCAGCCCCCCCCTAAAAAAGATGGTCCCCCCCCCCCCCCCCCGTGATTAGGCCATTGCACAGGAATCCATGACAGTTACCCTGTAAGCATGAGCCATTACCATGAGAGACATTGCTCCATCAGGGAACCCCACCCAGTCCTGAGGGATGACAGCCAGGACCCCAGAGCTCAGTTTGTGTCTATTTATTTCATGCACGTGTCCCATTTGTGCTTGGGAGGGCTTTGGTTATAAGGTGGGCATAGGGTGGAGGGGACATGGATGTCACAGACAACTGCGACAACTTTAAAAATGATCTTCTTGCCTCTGCGGTGTCCCATAGCTACCTGGGTCACTTTCCTGGCCACTCTCCCCAGTGGCTCACCTCATTCCTAGGATAGGATCTCAAGAACACAGCTTTAATTCAGGGCTCTTCCAAACTGTACCTGTGCTTTGTCCCCCACCCCTCAAGGGCTCCCGTCACACTGAACCTCCTTCCTGCTTTATTGAAAGAGCCACATGGCTGTCCTAGCTCACCTCCATCATGCTGTCCCATCTCTCAGAGAAGTTCTCCTCCTTCTGTGCCTTGAAGACACCTACTCAGTCCCTGGAGACCAGCTGAAATGCCACCGCTTTAGGGAAGTTCTCCCTCACCCTCTCCCGCCACACCCTCCTCGGTGCTCTACTAGCTCCGTGGTGTGGCTCTGAATTTGGGCTCCCATCTGTGTCCTTCGGTAGAAAGCAGACAGCCCAGTGTGCTAGGACGTGGCCAGCAACCCGCGCTCAAGAAGCTGACAAAAGAAGTGTGCCACACGGACTGGGTTCTATGGTGTGAATACTGAGAGCAGTGGCCAGGTTCAACACGCGGGGTGCAGAGCACACATGTGGTGCTGGGATGTTCCCTTGCACCTCCGTAAAGGTCCTCTTTCCCAGCACCCCATGGGGCCTGGACCACAGAAAATGCTGGGAGAAAAACTAAGCAAGGAATTGGGTGAGTGGGTGGGTGGGTAGGTGGAGACGCTAGAAGCAGCTTGTCCTTTGCCAGTTACTGACACCCAAAATGTTGCAGAGGGGGAGAACGGCTCAGAACTGCTGCTTAAATGTCTTGCCTGATGTCACAGGGACCCTCCTGCCCCAGGGAATGCAGTTCTCCCGAGTTATTCCATCGGGCGTTGAAGGTCTGGGGCCATCAGCTGCCCTTGGACCGACCATTAGGCAGGGCCATCTCTCTGAGCCCTGTGTTGCAGCCTGGTCCATCTAGCCCTCGTCACAGATCCCGAGTCTGATCTATCAATCATTTCCTCTCCCTAGGCCATGGCTAACTGAGATGCCTATTGCTACATCAAAGCTGATGCTGGCTACCAGGTTCTCCCAGCATCCCTCAGTTCCTACCTGTTATAGCAGCAGTTCTCAACCTTTGAGTTGTGAGCCCCCTGGGGGTCAACCACCCTTCACAGGGGTCACATAAGTCTATCTACATATCAGATGTTTACATTACAATTCATAATAGCAAAATTACAGTTATGAAGTAGAAATAAAAATAATTTCATGGTTGGGGTCGCTACAACATGAGGAACTGTATTTTTCTTTGTCTTTTATGTATTTATGTATGTATTTATTTATTTATTTTGAGACAGGGTTTCTCTGTAGCTTTGGAACCTGTCTTGGAACTAGCTTTGTAGACCAGGCTGGCCTCAAACTCACAGAGATCTGCCTGTCTCTGCCTCCCGAGTGCTGGAATTAAAGGCGTGCTCCACCACGCCTAGCTGAGGAACTGTATTAAAGGGTCGCAGTGATGGGAACGTTGAGAACCGCTGTGTTACAGGGTCCTCCTGGCTGGCATACCCCATCCCCTACTCTAAACTTCTCCAGCCCAGGGGCTGGGCTTCCTCCCCCCTGCTCTTTCCTATGTATATCCAGCCATTTTGGCTACGCCGGTGCTTTCTTATCCTTTTACTTTTCGGCCTCTGCCTCCTGAGCTCTTGGCTCCTGGCTCTCCTCTTCTCCCTCCTCAGGGTCTTGTTCACTCTGGACTCTTCCAGATGCCTCTGCCTTCTCCCTATGTCTACAATAAGCCTTCTACACCGTACCTTTTTATAGTCTGGCCGTGAAGATGCTTCTCAAACCCAAACCAGCATCGACATGTGCTCGAAGTCTGTGCCCCTACCTACATGGCCCAACTCCTACAAGGTATGGCTGGGAGGAGACCTTGGGGCTCGGGTGTCAGAGGGCACTGAAGGCCCAAGCGGATGAAGCTTGATGTTGAGAACTATTCTGGCAGCCATCTTGCCACAGCCCATTCAGCCTCGGATCTAATAGATTAAATGGCTCTAATATTGGACACTAATCTCCCTTGGTCCTTAGCAATGAATTGTATTTTCGTCTTCATTAATAATCTAGATGCAGGTGCATATCTTGGTACCATGAACTCCTTGGATTTGAAGATGCCATCTAGGTTTTCAGCAGCCTTCCTCAGGGAAAGCAGTCTGCACTTGGTTTTGACAAGCTAGGTCTTTAGAGAACCCTGGTGACCCTCGATGAGCTTATTGGGACCAATTAGAAACGCTGTGGGGTGGGCACACTGATACCAGTGGCCTTCTGCTGCCTGGTGAAGCTGCCCTGAATGATGAAAGGCCTGATGAGGCGCCTGTCCTGGGCCTCACGGAGCTGCAGGGACAGCTGTGGATAAAGTCCTGACATCCCTGAGCCCTGCACCATCAGACTCCCCACCACAGCCCCACTCAGCACCCGACTCAGCTATTCCAGAGCCAGCAGCACCTCAGGAAGTCAGCACTAAGTTAGCAGTGCCCCAGTCAGGCTCCCCTTGGGGGAAATTTGGCTTACCTTTGTTGAAGAAGTCACAGTCGTATGCTAAAGAAGAAAGAAGAGAGATTTCCCATGAGCAGGGCACCTGGACCCCGTCTCTCCCCTCATCAAGAACTGAATCTGGCCCTATTTCCCAAACTCCAAGACTGAGGAATAAACTTGGATCCAAATGTCTTTTTATTTGTTCATTTGTTTTGCTTTGGTTTTTGAGACAGGGTTTCTCTGCATAGCCCTGGCTGTACTGGAACTCGCTCTGTAGACCAGGCTGGCCTTGAACTCAGAGATCCACCTGCCTTTACCTCCTGAGCACTGGAATTAAAGGCGTGCGCTATCACCACCCGCAGATCTATAGGTCTTAAAAGGAGGAAATACAGTGGTCCTCCCTCACATCCCAGCACAAGACTCAAAGCCTGGCTTGGAGCAGCACTCAGCGATGTGATGAATGAACAAACAAATGAACAAACGAATGAATGAATGTTAGATAGAAGAGTATGTTTTGTGCAACCACAAATGTCAAGAACAGAACATGAAGGTGTAGGATTGAAGACATAGCCCAGTCAGTAGAGAGCTTGCCTAGTATGTCCTGGATCCAGTGGTTCTCCATCATTACATTATATTGTGTGGTGGTGTGCACCTCTAATCCCAGCACTCAGGAGGGAAGGGCAAAAGTATCAGATCATCCTTGGCTATACAGGGAGTTTGAAATAAGCCTGAACTATAGAGATCCTGTCTCAAATATAATAAACAGAACCAAAGTGTAGAAGATCTGATTGGATATTTTGCAGAAGAGCCCCCAAAGAAAGAATGCAATCATAAAACAGAAGTTCCTCAGCTTTGGACGGAATGGGATGAAGGGGCTCCCAGATCCCAGGCTCTCCACAACCTTCTATGCTGCGGTGACTGGCTCCATCGAAGTTCTTTTAGGCAGTAAGGAGACCCTAAAGCACGGACCCATTGCGCCCTCTAGTGGATGATCTGCATCTGTTCCCTGGCATCTCCCTTACCAATTTCAGTCCACAATGGGTGAGCTGTGAGGACCTTGCCAGATGAACCAACCAAGAATAAAACTGTGGAGAACCATCTGGGTGCCCATGGGATAAAGGCTGCGTAAGTGTCTGCCTCACACACAGGGAGGGTATGAAGAGCGTCATCAGCTCCTAGTACACCTTAGACCCACAAATAAACACATTCGCTTTTGCTCTCTTGCAAAGGGATGAAGTCAGGTGTGGTGCACACCTTTAATCCCAGCACTTGTGGGGCAGAGACAGACAGGTCTTTGTGAATTCAAGGACATTTTGGTCTATATAGCAGCCAGGACTACATAGAGATACTCTGTCTCAAAAAACGAAAACAGAGTGAGGAGCTGGCTTGCCATGAGCCTATGGGCAAGCACTTGTTTTCCTCATTGGTGGACACGGAGTGTAAAATTATGAGGGGCTTTGGGGAGGTGACTCAGTTGGTAAAGCACTTGCCCTACTTGCATGAGGACCAAGTTCAACCCAGCGTTGGAAACACAGAGGCAAATGGATCTCTGGGGCTTGTTGGCCAGCCAGCCCAACAGCTATGCACGGATGCACAAAAGCACTTTTGCGGGGATTTTATCCCAGCCTTTATTCCAGGTGCACCCACCTGTCCAACCTCGGACTGGCAGGACTTGCCATTGGTCTTAACACCATTCATCTTAATGTGTTAGCCAATGACTTTTCCTTTAAGTTACTTGTTTATTGGGGGGATGCAGGTGACGTGGCGTACCTGTGGAGGTCAGCGAACAACTTGAGGGTGTCAAGTTGCACCACATGGGTCCTGGGGATGAACTTGGGTCGTCAGGCTTGGCAGCAAGCACCTTTACCTGCTGAGCCATCTCACTGGCCCAGGATGATTGATTATAAAATATCTTGTGTAATATTTCTCACTTTGTTTTTAAAACCCCTCCTTGCTGTAACATCCCATAAACAGCCCAGTGGGGCCCATGCAGTCCCACTGTGCTATTATGACACTCACTAAAAGCCTTATTAATCTCTGAAGAAACAGTCCTTGCTTTATTTAGGTCATTAGCTAATTCTACTTTAATATGACATATCCAAATCAATACAAAAAGTTCATAATGAACACAGTGTCAAAACATTAAAATAAGCAGTAACAGGGTCCCACTGAGTCACCGTGGACCCTAGACCCAGGGGGAACTGAAAATACCAACCTTCGATATTTATTCATCAGCAATAATTTTGCAGTGAGTTTTAGTTTTTAAAGAAACTACACTAAAATGTTATTATGTTGGATCCCTGAGTTGTTGGGGGTTCCTGTAAGCATCACAACCCTGGAAAAGTGCTTCATCTGCTTTACCTTAGTCCTGATTATTACATGAGACAACACACATGTAGCATGTCATGATAGGTCCTCTATAAATATGTGTGTCCCCTTCTTCCTGAAGGGCAGTTACCAGAAGCAAGGAGAGGGACCCAGCACCTATGCTGAAGGATCTGGGGGTGGGGGAACAGGCAGGGGGAAAGGAAAAAGTCCGGAGAGGGGAGGGTGCGCCTCCGTCTTATCCCTGAGGTCCCCAGCCTGGAGCTCTAGGGGCTGGGGATATGTCAACACCCCTGTGTCTATTAACAGTGTTGCACAGCACCAAGCCAGCATTGCAAGATTGTGTCACTTAACGTTCCCAGCATCTGTGAGGTGAGGACTTAGCTTTGCTCCAGTGCTGTGGAGAAGGGATGCATCCAGGCCCCAGTTGGCAGAATTGGGGTCTGAAATAGATTATCCTCCCTTGTGGAGCCTGGACACTCCTCACTGACCCCAACACGAGGTCAGGAAAACCTGACTGTGGGTGGGATATTGGAATCTAAAGGAAATGACCTTAGATTTTAGGAAATTAATTTCATCTTCTATGCATTTTATTTTACCTTTTACTTATTTTGTATGTTTTATGCTACACATTTATACTCACCATAGTATATGTTGCTGTGGGATAATGTTCTTGTACACTGGAAAGATTTGCCATTCGTATTAGTTTAATAAAAAACTGATTGGCCAGTATCCAGGCAGGAAGTATAGTGGGGCAACAAGACTAGGAGAATTCTGGGAAGAGGAAAGGCAGAGATGCAGCCACCAACTAGACACAGAGGAAGAAAGATAAGAATGCCTCACTGAGAAAAGGTATCAAGCCACATGGCTAACCATAGATAAGGATTATGGGTTAGTTTAAGTTGTAAGAGTTAGTTAGTAATAATCTTGAGCTAATAGGCCAACCAACTGATAATTAATACAAGCCTCTGTGTGTTTCTTTGGGACTAAACAGATGTGGGACCAGGCAGGACAGATACTTCTGTCAACAAATAGCACCCAAACATTTGACAAAAATTTCCACATAAAGCCTGAGAAGGCTTTAAAAAAAATGGGGGAGGGGGAATTCTAGACAGACAAGAACAGAGTCAAGTGCAGCTTCTTGGTAACCATTTTTTTTCTCCAGTAGGCTCTGTTTACTGGTGGTGAGAAGAGGTACAGCTTTTGTTTTCACAGGTAATGAGAGGCTGTGGATTCATTCTAGGTTAAGAAAAATAAGGTTTGATGAAGGAAGACCCCCTGAGAAATCTCCAATGGAAGTGGATGTCCCAGATGATCCAACATCTCAGAGCACCTCTGTTGCAGTCTCCTCTGGGTTCTGCATCCAGAACAGCCTCAAGACTGCTGGCCGAGATGATCGAGCCTCACAGAATACTCCAGTCAGTATTTGATCATAATCCTAGATTTTCTTTGGTAAGAAAATTTGGTAAATTTTCTTTCTAAGATTACCAGCACTACCAAACAGCAGGAAGTAGCTTAGAAAACTATACCACATTCCCCAAAAATAGATTATTGATGCTTGTCTTTGTTTAGTGTTTATTACAAGTTGTTAAGGACAATGGTCCTAGTACACTGCAAATATTTGTCACTCATATTAGTTTAATAGAACACTGATTGGCCAGTAACAAGGCAGGAAGTATAGGCAGGGCAACCAGACTAGGAGAATTTGGGGAAGAAGAAAGCCAGAGACACAGCCACCAGCCAGATTCAGGGAAGCAAGATGAGAATGCCTCACTGAGAAAAGGTACCAAGCCACATGGCTAAATATAGATAAGAATTATGGGTTAATTTAAGTTATAAGAGCTAGTTAGTAATAAGCCTGAGCTCATAGGCCAAACAGTTTATAATTGATATAAGCCTCTGTGTGTTTCTTTGGGACTAAACAGCTGCAGGACCGGGTAGGACAGAAACTTCTGTTTACAATATGTATATAAGTGTGTGTGCATGTGTGTGGGGTGCACATGTGCATATATGTGCCCAGAATAGTTCTGTCTCAGAGGTCTCAATAGGCAGCATTCATAGGCCCACACTGTTTTGAGTAAACAGGACCTATCTCCACAGCTCAGCTGGTCAAAGGTTTTTATGTTCATTATCTTGTTTGAGCTTACAGAAAGCCAGTTAGGGGCTGTCTATTCCCATTTTTCAGGGGATAAAAACTGAGGCTCAGAGGAGTTGGGAAGTTTGTTTTGAGTCACACAGTATGCAAAAGCCAGCCTGGCCTTGGATCCCAGGGCTTGGGACTCTTTTAGCAATGAGGTTAAGGACCAGCTCTTCAAAGATGAGTTCCAGCTACCCTATTCTCCTGAGAAACCTTGAGCATGGCTTGCACAACTCTCTCCTCTCTTTGCCACACAGGGATATAGCGTCATGGGGTGTAGTCGGGAACACTCACGGCAGAAGCGGGGGGTCCGCCAATCAATGACCACCCCGTGCTGGCAGCACTGGTGAGCATAGGCAGACACGCTGGCACAGAAGCACTCACAGTCACCACCCCGGCTGCAGCCACATGTGTCTGTCAGGCAGTTTGAGTAAAACCAAGTGACGTCAACCTAGGGAAGGTCAGAGGGTTCTGAATATCAAGCTTGCATTTCATCTATGGCAGTACAGCAGGAGGATGCTCACAGGTAGGCGGCGCTGTCCGCATGGGATGAGGGCTATACGGCGAGGCAGGCAGCTCAGAAAGCACAGGCAGAAACCCACTCTGAGGTGCTCGGCTTGAGCCCAGAAAGTTGGACTCAGGAGACTGGGGAACTGCTAAAGCCCAGACAGGATGTGCGAGCTGCCCAGCCAGGCTGGAGTCACAAAGGCTAGGCCACAATGGTCTCCGAAGACCTAGAGAAGCCCTGTGGAGCAGAGCCCCAACCTGTCATCTCCATGGAGAGCAGGGGAAATTCAGGAATGCAGCACCAGCTCAGTGTGCACTCTGCAATAGAATGTCCTCATGAGCAGGGAGGGCCAGGCCCAGCTGGACTTGCAGAGAGCGCAGAGCCTTGGCTGGCTGTCTCTATGTGTCAGGGACCTGGGGAAGGATCATCCGAGCAGACAGAGGCAGGAGAAGGGTGGAGGAGAGATGGGTCTCCCTCTTTAAAGGGAGTATTTGAGAAGGAGGGGGTCCTTGGAAGGTGGGAAGGACTTAGAAGGGGCCAAAGATCACCCACTTAACACAGGGAGGCACTTACCACGGGGTGGCATGTCTCAAACACCTCACTGAGCAGAATGCCACACTCCTTCCTGGCAAATGGCTCTCGGAGAGGATTCAGGGCACACGTGTCCCTTGGGTCAGGAGTATCTGGACACTGCAAGACAAAGGGAGTGCTGTACCCATGGCACCAAGCAGAGAGATCTCCTCTCCCTCCAGTTCCTGTACCCACAGGGAGTGCACTCTGAGTGCCCTGAGACTGCCCTGTAGGCATCCACATCCTTGTTCAATCACCTCCCCTGGAGAGTGGGAGCAGCCTCCAACCTGCTTCCAACAAGCGGAACACCAAAGGTTCTGGGGACACACCAGGCTGAGAGTCATCAGATGAGGTCCCAGAGCCCACTTCACTGGAGTCTGTCCCTCACTGGCTGTGAGGAAGGAGACAGCTATGCTGGGAACTCCACATGACAGGAAGTGAGGGGCCGCTAAGAGCTGAGGGTGTTCTCTGACCAATAGCTACTGAAAGCTAAAGTTGTCAGGCCTACAGGTCCAGGAGCGGAGATGACCCACAGCCACCCACATGCCCTGGATGTCGCCTTGTCTGCAGCCTGTGGGACACAGAGAAGAAAGCCTAGCCTCATGTTCTGATTCCCAACCACCAGGAACTGAGGGAGGACATGCTTTGTGTAGTGGTGTGGATTGAACACTACCATTGCACAGCAAAGGGTGGTTAACACAGATTTCCCCAGGCCTGTATTTTTATGCACTGCCTTCCCAGCATGCCTAAAGTTATAAGCAATAAAGAAATATTGGCTGGTGGGGAGGTGGTTCACAAATACAAAATCAGTCACCCATTTCACCCATCCAGCTTTTCTAAAATGTGGGTGCCATGCCCATCTGCTCTGCCTGCCCTCTCTATCTATCCTTCTGCAAAGAACAAAGATCCACTCAGGGCAGAAAAGCGACATATGAAACAATCGTGTCACCATTACTGCACCCAAGGCAGACATAACCAATCAACCACAGTCCTTAGGTATTTCTCAGTGACGCTTTGCAGGCAGCCTCTGGGGACTGATGAGAGCTGTTATGGGCCCTCCCCTGGCACAGTGCCCTCTCTCCAACAGAAGAATCAGTTCATCCAGAAAGTCAAGACAAGAAGCCGAGTTTGCTGCTCTCAGTCCACTGCTGTCCCCAACAGCTCATAGCTTGGCAGCACCAAGCAGCTCCTAACCCTCAGGGATGTCCCTATGCGTCTGCTTATGGTCTCCCTCCAAACACAGCCTGTCTGCCAAATTCCACCCTCCGTCTCGCCTTCTCCACGAAGTATTTGCTGAGGACTGTCTCAGTCTACAGGATTCTCTTCTCCATGCCCTAACTAGTGCCAGAGGTGGTGACGGTGGGGAGGATGGACAAGCTGGGCATGGTTCAACAAGTCCACCTTCCTCACTAGGTGACCCCCTTGCCTAGGATAGGAACTCCACCTTCTCCAAACATTATTAAGTCACGTTTGACCAAGGTCAGGGTGGGCTGCCTGCCTTGTGGGGCAGGGACAGAATCTTAGACAGTCCGAGGCAGAGGGCTTTCCCAGGAGGAGCCTCACACCGATGTTGTTCTCCCCTGGCTTGGGCCCAGGATGCGCACGGCCCATCTAAGAGAGTCAGGGGTACCGGGGAACTGGAAGGCCTTACCTCCACCGCAGCCCAACTGCTGCCAAACTCCTGGGGGTTCGTTAGCTCTAGGTTCTCTGGGGTCCTCATCTCATTGATGGTTTTCAGGTCAAAGTTCCCACAAAGGCCCACCAACTGACCCTGAGAGGAGGGAGGGCACCTTGTCAGTTGCCAGGATAGCAGGGCTGAACTGCAGCACCAAGACTGTTGATCCAGAAGCAACTGTGGAGAGGATGGCTTAAAGAGAGGTGGAGCAAGGCCAGAGAAAGATGACAGATGAGGACAGCAGTGGACAGGACAGCGTTGTGATCCTCTCAGCCCTGGACAATGGCAGAGGTGACGGTGCTCAGGTCCCGTGACTACCTGCCACTGAGGGCCAGCCTGGACATGAACAGTGGTTCTCTGATCCCAGAGGAGGGTGACGTGCTCCCGTGGGAAATGCACCAGTGTGAAGAAGCCTGCTCTCCAGATGTGGACAGCCTGCTTCTCATCCAGGAAGCTCTCGGGACTCTAGGGAGACAGAACAAGTCAGTCCTGAACCTGAGTGTCCCTCAACACCAACTCAACCAGACAGAGTCACGAATCATTGCCAACCCCAGTCCCTCACCGACACGCCTCCCTCTTTCCACTGCGATCCTGCCCTCTGCTTCCCTTTATAAAGAATCCAGCCAGAGCTTCTGCCTCAGTGGCACAATGGATCCCAACCCTCTCCTGCCTCCTCACCACCAATCTGTGCCCCGTCTGTACAACCTTCCCCAGTACAGGTCCTTACA